TGTGATAGACTGGCGACCTGTCTAGGGTGTACCCCGCCTCTCGCTCAGTGTCAACTGGGATTGGCTCCAGCCCCCTGCACAACCCTATTCAGGAATAAGCGGTATAGATAATGGATGGACTCTGTAACTGATGTTTTATGAGCTTCCTTACAGCTCCCACTGTGCACAGTTATTTATTTACAACAATCCAGCTTATGTAACACAAAAGACACCAAGGTCAGGTTGTATACAGCATATCATGTACACACAAATCACACATGCGCCAAACACACAAGGAGTCACTGGCTGCCTTGGGTGGAGGAAGTGCCGAGGAGAGAAAGAGGAACAGAGGACCTGAGGAGGAGGAAGAAGAGGAAGATGATTGGAAAAGAGGAAGAAAAAGTGCTTTCTCTATGGCAGTCTGCTGACACTGGCATCCAACAATGCATAGCTTAGCTCTTTTGTGTCAACTCATGAGCATGCATGACACTAGCAATGGTAAAAGCATATAACAAAGCATGCAATGGCAGGATGGCATAGCAACTTGGGAACAGTCTGGGGGGAGGATGATTTCCCATCACAAACTACAATGGTTTATGTGCAAATACTGCAATAATGTTGCACTAGCTGACTCTGCATCCAACGTACACTGCGCAAAGCAGTCCTGATCTTAATTCCAGTGACCAAGATGAAATGCAATTAATTTACAGAATAACGATATAAAAGCAACAGTGCAGTCAGTGAGACTATTCAAATCAAGCTATCTATTGAACCTGATTATGTATTTTGGATATACATTGTAAGAAAACAGCGAAATCTTCTTCAAACTGAAGTCTGTAAATTATCACATGAAGAATCAACAAATCCTCATAAATGAGCAGCTGGAACTAATGTTTAGCATTTTGTTTGAAAAAAGCTGAAATGAATTATTATTAGTACAACTGCCACTTAATTTTCTCTTGATTAAGTGATCAATTATAATCTTAGCATTTCAGGTCAGTTGACTTTACTTTCCAAGTTGGCCAGCTCCTGGTTTAGAAAATGTCAATACTGTCAGGTCCGCTCGGCGCGACCTGCATCTCTTCTGCCTTTCTCTCTCCTGCTCGCTCTTTTTGCAGGATCAGTGCCTCAGCTGTGTCGCATGTTGTAATCAGTGACTTGTGGGTTATCGCGCACTGTTGGGGCACATTACTGTAATCACCCTCCTACCTTATTTATACCTCTGGCGAATGCTCTGCCGTCACCGGAGCGTTACCTACTGTAACTTGCATACCCTGTAACAGACCTGTAGTCGTGGTATGTATTTGTACGCCATAATGTTTTCCACGCTGACAGTCCCTGTATACCTCTGGCGGATGCTCTGCTGTCACCGGAGCATTACCTACTGTAACTTGCATACCCTGTAACAGACCTGTAGTCGTGGTATGTATTTGTACGCCATAATGTTTTCCACGCTGACAGTCCCTGTGCTGTGGATCGCATTTTGTATGTTGGTTATATGTTTTGTGTTATACATCTTAAGACGTCCACACTGACAGTCCCTGTGCTGTGGATCTCTTTATGTTTTTCCCATTAGGTTAGCTAGACGTTCTTTTTGGTATCCACGCTGACAGTTCCTGTGCTGTGGATTTCCTTTTTTGTTAGCTAATCCTCCTGGGTAGTTTGTTTTCTTTTTCACCTGTCCGTCCTCATCCTCACTCTCCTGTTTTTTGCCGTTAGCCTGTTTACTCCCCTGGTCATCCTGTTCTCCCTCACTGTATTTGCTCAGCCCCGGTTGTATGTGTTCCCCGACTCTGTTCCTTTTTTTTCGTGTTTCCCACCATTAAAACCTCCTTTTTTACTAGCACCTGGGTCAGCGATCTTGAGTCCTGCCTCAGTTCTCCCTCACCCTCCTGGTGAGGGGGACTAAACCATAACAAATGCTGCTGCTGATTTACAAAAAATGTAATTTATTTAAATGAATCCTGCAATTATATGGGAAAAACCTACAGTATAATAACAATTTCATTCACGTGTCACTGTTTGATTTGACACATTTGAACATCATTTGGTCATTGGTATACACACCCAAACTTTAAATCCCACATGCTCCATATTCCTTTTGCAGCCTTTTAGTATACTCAGCACATTTGAATGTAGATCATGTGCACTGTGAACATTCGGTCAGAAAATTTTCATTGCCCTAATCATACACTGGGATTTCTCAAATGTCTTCCCTGCAGTGACTATGCAGTTACTCAAGTCCTGCATGTACTTAACGAACCAAGCTGTCAAAATCAGCCTGTTTCCAAGAACCAATGAATAAAAGCTATTAATCCATTTGTTTCATCTAACAGTTTTTATTTTCAATGAGCTATAAACACTGATTAAGGCCACACTGTTTCCTGTTTCCTGTCAAAGTGAGTCTGGAGGCCAGTGATTCAGTGATTCTCATCCACTCACCCACTTAATTTATTGCCTCCTTAGGGATACAGGAATTCATTCTTTCCAGGCTATAGCAAGGGTGCTTTTGGCCCAGACTGTAGTGGCTCATATATTTGAGGATAGGCTGGATAACATAAGCATAGGGACCTTTCGAAACAAGATGAATAATAGACGAAGACAAAGTGTAAGAGAAGGGTGAGCAGGTGAAAGCATTTGCAGCAGTATTCTTTGAACACTGATTACACAGTTTTATTCTGCGTTGTGTGTGTTGGTTTTTGAGCATCAGAGCCTGAGAGGACATGGAAAATAAAAGACAGAGATAAAAACTAAAAATGTTTACAATGAAGCGTGACCTTACTCTTAAGGCCTTTGAAGATATTTTTGTCTAAGTGTATTAAAATAAACAGAATTGTTTGAGAAGGCCTAGCCATGACGTTAATGCAATACTAACAGCATGCTATCTTAAAAGATTAGCTGAAACCCTAGCTTTCTTTAAACTACAGAGTGACACCACACTGCTCTCTGGGGCAGTTCTCACTGTCCCTATTCAAACTTGTATCTGCCCAAGAACTGAGGTTATGGGGTTATTTTACAAGAAGTAGTTGAGATGTAATTAATGGTTCCTTTTGAAAAATGTCCTGTAATAAATACATATTTCGAAAAACAAGTCGCCTTGATTCTGACATGTCACAGTACCTCTGTGTACCACTCACATTGTCTCTCCATCCTAATCTCTATTAAAGAGTAATTGCAGGTACTGTGTCAGAGATGCTGATGTTGCTATGCAACCAAACAGAATGTTTTGCAGAGAGATGGGCATTTTTACAAGTCTGCTATCATCTCAAAATGGTTGCATTTGCTAGAATAATGGTTTCCTATTTGCACACAACCCTTAAAACTGCCTTGATTTTTGATCGGCATTGTGGGTACATCCCATTAGACAGCTCTCAGAGCAATCTATTGTCTCAATACTCCTTTAAATTACCCACAGTGCACCAATGCTCCAGTGGTAACTCCGTTCTGTAATTTGGCCATGCATGTGCAATGGGAAATTATCTATTATATTTGATAAAAATGAAATCCACATATTTCCATATTATATACTGTAGGCATATCTAATAATTGAAAAATAGCATACATTGTTGCATGTACACTACAGTATCATGTGCTGAATTAGTGTTGATACCCATACTTGTGTATCCTTTTCTCCTCCTCCCATGTTTCACGACTAACAACACAAAGTCATTCGCCTCTTCTTAAAGCATGGGAATGTATCAGTGTGACTTGCTACCATTTGGGGTCACACCAATGGCAATAAGATGTGGATGCAGAAAAACAATCTTTTGAAAAAAAAAAATGGAGCAATGAAAGTTATGGGACAACAGTGTTTTTCTCTCATGGACAAAACATATATTGTGTTGCAGCAAATCCTCATTAATGATGCACAAACAATATCTAGAATCAGAGAGACAAATAAAGAGGGAAGACACAACAGGCAGACAGAAGGGCATGCAGAGCTGCGTGTGCCTCTGGTAGGCAGACATATTGTCAGAGACTACATCATGGACCATTTGATGGACGCTTTCATCCAAACATTGAGCAGCACCAACGCATACGCCTGGCTGTAGCCACTAGTGTCATGCTGGAGCCATCAAGGTGCAGAACTACTGACTGACAGACACAGAAGACAGACTATCAGACAGGCGGATTGAGGAAAACAGACAAACATACAGAGGAAAAAGGGCTGGGTGTCTGATGGCTGCATGGCTTCTCACGCCTTCATGTTGTGCCACATTAATCTGACAGAAATTCGGTGAGGCTGCACTCGCATAAAGACGCACAGCATCCACTGAAAACCGCAAGACTCATACTGAGTATGCAACAGTCATGATTTTATATTATCTCATACAGGAGAAGAATCTAAATGGTATTGATGATGATGATAAAGCATCTCAAATAATTACCCACCCAGGTCCACGCGTGTATGTAACGGAATGTGTATACGTAATAGCCTAACCGACGTGTAGCTCCATTATCGGACACAAATATGATTCAATTTTTAAAGGCCTCTAACATGCTGAATTAGACCACAAACCCATCGATAACAATGGGGATCAGTGAACTCACTGCACAAGGCATATAGGTGCCCCAGTGACACAGCCTAAATCATGCCTGGATCATTGCAAAATGCCAGACGCAATGATAAACCGAAGTGAAAACAACGGATTGAATGTTATGTGAGAGTGGTGGCCCTGTTTTTACTGGGAAAAGGGAATTGAGCATCACAACAAGCATGTCAAATTATGTGAGCATTGATGTCCACATGCATAGCCAATATTCTGGGGGTGGAGGTTGTGGAGAGGGCACCAGCAAACCACCGGGTTGCCACATCAACCAGTAAGATGATGTGCAATCCTTTATGTGCATACAACCACAATCAATATAAATCTATTGGAGAAGGTGCATGTGTGCCCAGGCATTTTATACGTGTAGGAGACATTGGCTCGTTGAGATTGTATAGCTAATTATTCTCAGGGAGGGAGCACATGTGTTTAACTGTCATCACGGAACCGGTGAATAAAAAAACTCTTATTTACCTTCATGTCATTGACAATGGCCTGGAATAGACCCCCGAGGGCCCCGCATTCCTTCTCCACGGTCTCCATGTTTGCCAGATCCACCATTCACCGGAATTTGCAGAAGCGCGCACCAACTGCGCGCTACCAACACCCAGCAGGAAAAAATATGTATTTCCACAAAATCACGACCGGGCTCTCCGGTCTGCCCTTTAAATGAAAATAACGGAAGGATGCCGCAAGAAGAGGAGCAGGAAGGTTATGAATAAAGAAGATGCAAAAACAAACGGCTTGTGCTGCAGTCTCTTCCAAGCAAAGGGAAGATGTAATGTGTGAGAGAGAAGATGGTCTCTCTCTCTCTCTCTTTCTCTCTCTCTCTCTCTCCCTCCCTCCCTCCCCGACTCAGCAGACAGTGAGACGTCCTGGTGCTACCGGCACTGGGACGTTCACGCTCATCGTGGCGCAGCCAGCGCTACGCGGAGTCGATGGGAATGCACGTGAAAGCAGTGGAGAACCAGAGTATGTGTGCGTGAGTGTCTGTGTCAGGGTCTGTGTCGTTCCTTTGGTGTATGCGTATGCGTGTTGGTGAAGGCGGGCTATGATTGGTGCAGAGGTGGTGGGCTCAGCCGAGTGGGGACAGCAGCCAGTAATACGGTGCAATTGCAAAGGAGTCAAAAAAAACAACTGTGGATGGCCAGTCACATGGTCACACCCACGAAAAGACACCCATGCACAGTCTATACACACACAGCAGACCACCAGAATAAAAACACTTGTGTGCACGTGTTTAGGAATGTGTCCTGATGACCCTGGTTAATGGCTTTTAAAAATATCGTTTTCATAACCCTTCAGTGGCTGTATAGTGACTGTTATGTGAAGGGGGCTACTGTTAGGAGCCTTCCTAAAAATCCCAGGAGGTTGATGTTTTGTGAGACACATATAACTGGTCGCTCACTAGCAAATAAAAATAAATGATTAAAAATCCAGGAAATATGCAATATTGGCTATGTGAACAAGAGCTGCCAGCAGTTAGCATAGTGGCTTAAACTGTATGTCCTGTTTCTGCATTAATGTTTTCCTTTAGTCCAAAAACATGCATGAGTCACTGTATAATTACAGTATACCTAGATCAGACCAGGTGGCAACTGAGTTTCCACTATAAATAGGGGTTAGGATGACATATTACTAGATAAAACTGCATGCTTTATGTGTAAGTGGACTTACGCACAAAGGCTTAGTGGGGATGTCATTTTTTTGGAAAAGGCCTTTTACTGCAAAGACCGTGGGAGGTGTCACACGCAAACATAGAAACCCACACTCACACACCCAGTGATGAGGCTCTGGCAGGGGCTCCAGCTGCAGTACTGTCCAAACACTGCGTTTTGGCCTCATTATCACTGGACCTCTCTTTACAGTAGGACAGGATCACAGGGTGCTGTCAGCCTGGGTCAAGGGGCTAGAAAAGATTCTGGCTACAAGTGTGTGTGTGTGTGCACGCGTGCATTTGTTTTGATAGGTGTACTGGGTGCTCAGTTCAATGTTGTATTCAGACTTCTGAATTGTCCCCTTGAAAGACAGAACACAGACTTCCTCAGGCTTTAAGAGCCTCTTGATCAGACCCAGGTCTGTGAAAGACTAGTATATACACACTGGTGGTCTTTGGTTGGGTGGGGGATGGAGAGGGGGCACTGATAGCAACATGCTGGTTTCAAATTCAAATTGGATTTTTCTTGTTGTAAGAAAAATATCAGACTTAGTAGGTGTAAAAGCTTCATCTGAAATTAAAGGTCTAATTAATGTTCTGTATTTTTCTCCACACTTCCCCTGATTCTACTGCAGCACTTTAGTCACTGTGTCACTAGAGGGCAACCCAGGGCAGCTGTTGTTTGCCAAAGTATGGATTGGAACAGTGCAGTTAGATGTTGCATGTTCTTGTTTACTGCTTATGTTAAAGTGAACTGTATAGTGTATAGACTGTATAGTGGCCTATAAAATGATCAAAATGTTTCTCTCACAAATTATTAAACCAGAAGGCTAATCATGTCCATTTACCTACTCATCCATTTTTGCCAAGCCTCATTTAAGCATTCTAATAATTTCTACTTAAAAAAAAGTATAGCACTTTCCTTGATTCCTTTCTCAGCAGTTCCTCACATGCCCTGTGAGTGCACCTGATCTCTGCAACTTGGCAACAACTAGAAGAACTTTCTTATGTTTTTTTTTTCTCTTTTAACATGTCTATTCTGGTTAGTTAAAAATTACAGGGACCAAACCTGCCTAAGCTGCTGATGTTTGTCCCATATTTATGCTGGTGAAATTTGCTGAAGCTTGGACATGGGGAAAAAGCAAGTGAAGGGGGCCCCTACCTGGGTGTGTCCCCCTTTGTCACAGCTACATATCATTTCTGTAGCCACAACTTTGGATATGCAGGGACTAGAAGCCCAACTGCTGGGAATAGTGGTGTGTAAGGATCAAATCAAATGAAATTTTATTATCACAACAAAAGTCATCTCAAGACACTTTACAAAGTAAGTCCTAGACCTTACTGTTATCAGTATTATTACAGAGGGAAAACCCAACAAATCCCCCTTGAGCAAGCACTTGGCAACAGTGGGGAGGAAAAACTCCCTTTAACGGAAGAAACCTCCAACAGACCCCGGTTCATCAGTTCTCTCCAACTGGTGGTGAGCAGGAGGTATTTATCACCCTGGGTGTTCCAGTCCTTTGGTGGCCCACAATGTCCTCTAACAACTCAATCATTAGGGTCCGGTTTTGGTGAGCGTCGTTACCTGTCTTTGAACCCTCACCTGTGGACCGACGCCTGTTGTCCTGGTGGGCATGTTTGGGCAGAGATCTCAAAACAGAGTTGTAGATGGGTGAAAAGTTGTGTCTTAGTCCACCACCCTCATTTAGTGAGGGGTGTTCTATTTGGACAAAAATGAACATGAAACATCTTCTACCTACCAGTTGATTTTTTCTACGTTTTTTCAGCTTACCATGACCTGGATGACTAAGAATCTGTACAGACATGTTGCTACTCACTTTGGGAAGGTACTTAGGAAGTGCTTTGTTAGGATGATAAGGCTCTACGAGGTCTTTATGATACAATGGAGCCTTGTTATTAAGGGCTTTGTATGTTAGGAGAAGGATTTTAAATTCTATTCTGAATTTTACAGGGAGCCAGTGGAGAGAAGCTAATATGGGAGAGATATGATCTCTCTTGCTAGTTCCTGCCAGTACTCTGGCTGCAGCATTTTGGATTAACTGGAGGCTTTTTAGGGAATTATTGGGACATCCTGATAGTAAAGAGTTACAGTAGTCCAGCCTGGAAGTAACAAATGCATGGACCAGTTTTTCAGCATCACTTTGAGACAAGATGCTCCTGATTATGGTAATATTGTGCAGGTGAAAGAAGGCAGATCTAGAGACTTGGTTTATGTGTGATTTAAAAGACATAAGTCAGTGATGAATAATATGCTGTTCTGGCACTACGAAGGGCTTTTTATATGTTATTAAACTATCTTTCCAAGCTATGGAAAACTCTTCTGACTTAGTGGAGCGCCACCTCCTTTCCAGTTTTCATGATGCCTGCTTTATGGAGCAGAGCTGCAAGCTGTACTACGTGGGCTCCTCTGTTTCACTACCTTCTTTTTCAGAGGGGCAACAGTATCAAGTGTCGTACACAGGGAGGCTCCAGCATTATCAACAAGATTATCAACTTGTGTGGGAGTAAAGTTAAGGTGGCCTCCCTCCACTGTGTTGACAAATGGCACAAGGAGCGTCCAGAGCTAGAAGAACAGAAGCACTCTTTGGTGATCAGCATTGCTTCTGCCAAGAAAAGCCTGAAACCGCTGGAGGATGAGATTCTCAGGTGGTGTAGCTGACTGTTTTGAATACGTTTTATACTTTTTTTCTACAAAAAGGATAAAGTGCAATGTACATAAAAGATCAATTGTTTTATTAATATTAGTAACAGTAGTAGTATTTTTAATACCAGTTTTTATCAAAGTAGTAGTACCATTTGCTGTAAGCAGTGATGATAGTAGCAAGGCTACTAGATAGTCAGCATCGGTTAAAGGCCCAAAAAAAGGAAAATTCTAGTCTTAGTAACAAATAATCTACAACATTACTGCAGCTGCTACAAGTAACCACCTAGCTCTACTCTTAGCCAGACCTTAGCAACAAGTGCGTCATAAAGAAGTGCCTTACCCTCAATTAACCCTAAATCTGTTATAGCAACTTTATGAGGAGCCACAAATTGTTTGTTAAGTATCTTAACAACCTCCCAGCATCACAAAAGCAGCCAGTTTAACATTAACACACTTTTTGATTAGTGGAATTCTTCTGAGGAATGAACAAACCATCTGGACAATTCTGATGAAGTTCAACTAATTCCATCACTTTAAAATGAGGCTTTTTTTCAATGAATACACAGCAGCTTGGCTCAGATACAGCAGTCAGCCTTCCTTCACCAAGCTTTCAACCTCCAATAGACGGACTGCTTTTACAGTCAAGGTTTAGTCTGACTTGAGCTTGCAGTCCTACAGGTCTCTTACCCCAACACGAGCATGACCTTTATGAAGCAAATACAGACAAACTTGTGAGGAGGCACAAGGTTTTTTACAGACATATAACTTGTAGCCCCACTAAACAGCACAAAGATATATTAAACCCACATGGTGAGGTCTTGAATGTCATGAAAGCAGCTCAAATAAACAATATGTAAAGATTAATTATGGCCTTATGTGTACTTCACTGACCACTGAACAGCACTCTTAAGGTTTACTTAGACATTTAGGGGGTGAGCACATGCATCTAACCCATCACACAATGTAATTTCCTTTCAGCTGTGAGGTGCACCTAATGTTTTTCCTCTGTCACAGCACCTGCACTACCCATATGTAAAACTGGCAAAAGACACTGAGTGCATCAATATAATATACACCTTGCAATACAATACAACCACGCCACCACTAATTCCGCCCTCTGACACAATGTTACCAAATATGTATATTACACTGCAACTGTATTTTCTGATCCCCTAGTAGTAGTCTAATCTAGCAGCAACATTTGATTAAAATAGGAAACCTAATTAAAACTTGTATTATTATAGGTGTGACCACTGGTTTAAAAAGTTAGGCTATATTGTAATCATCACATCATCAGGTTAATTGGTGAGACCTCCCAATGTAACATTGCTGGAAGAATGTTTTAATAAAAGCCCAGTTTTGTCAGAAACGGCGCGCGTAGTGCGCCCGAAAAGTGTAACACCACCACTAATTCCACCCTCTGACACAGTGTTACCAAATACTGTATGTATATTACACTCTGCAATTGTATTTTCTGTTGCAGGGCTATTATAGGTCTTTTGTATCTGTGCATTCCCTAGTAGTAGTCTAATCTAGCAGCAACAATTTTTAAAAATAGAAAACCTAATTAAAACCTGTATTAATATAGGTGGCCACTGGTTTAATGAGTTACGCTAGATTGTAATCATCACATCATCGGGTTAATTGCTGAGACCTCCCAATGCAACATTGCTGGAAGAATGTTTTAATAAAAGCCCAGTTTAGGAAGATGTTTATTTTAGGAGTATCATTTGGC